CGTGGCCGCTGTGTGGTGCAGCAGCTGAGCTGCCGAGTGGGATACTGGCACAGCACCCTGGAGTGCCTGGCTTCAGGTCCCACTTCCACTTCCAGTTCCAGCTTCCTGCTGATGCCCTGACTGGGGGGCAGCACAGCAAGTGATGGCTCGAGCACCTGGGTCCCTGCCACCCATGTGAAAGAACCAGATAGAGTTCCTGGCTCCTGGCTCTGGCCTGGCTCAGCCCCAGCCACTGTGGGAATTTGAGGAGTGAACCAGCGGATGGAAGATCTCTCTCTTCTTTCTCAAATAAAATAAATGTTTTTTAAAAAGTCTTGAAAGCTATAAATGGAAAATTAAACAGACAGAAAGGAGAAAAGACAGAAGTGGTGGTCTCAAAACGGCTCTCTGCAAGCTGGCTTGGAAGGCAGCACAGTGGCTCTCGTCCTCCCGCGCAGCTCACCCTGCAGCTGTGTGGCTGCTGACAGCGTGGCCTCCGTGGCTGACTGCAAGCTCGCAGCTCCTACTTTGAGGACGAAGGTGCCCGGCTCCCTCGGCTGGGTTCCCATCTGTGCCAACAGGCCTGACGTGAGATGAGCTTCTGGAAGAAGCCTGTGGCCAGGCGAGCCGCTGCCTCCAGGAAGGGTTCTGGCATGATGTCACAACCTCTGCCTGCGCCTGCCCTGCGTCCCCACCACGTGCTGGGAGTCCTGTGTTTTCATGGGCTGAAGAAACATGAAGGGACACAGCAGGCGCACCCGTGGAGGACGGAAGGGCGGTCCCCTGAGCTTTGAAGGACCTGCCGCCCACCCTGCTGGCCCCTCCCGCTTCTCCCTGCTGCCCTCCGCGGACAAGGGCTGCTTTCGGAACCCGTGCTAGGCGCCCGAAGCCGGCGCAGGCAGGCAGCGGAGCAGGCGGGCGGGCAGGAAAGGGTTTCCAGGTCCCCAGGGGCCGGTAATCACATCCTCCAACCAGGTGCCGGCAGTAGGGCTCTTTGCTTCCAACCTTCCTGGCCCAGGGCCAGCGTTTCCAGGCCTCCCTCCGCCCCACGGCTCCTTCCCGTCATCTTTCCACCCAGAAGCCTGTTAACTGTTTTCCTGTGCTTTTTATTCCTATTTCCAGGCACCCCGTGTGCGTTAAACTTCAAAGAAAGTTTGCAGCAATAAGCACAAGGCTGTAACAAGTGGAAGCGCCAAATGGCCGTGCTGAGAACCGTTTGTTAAAATGAAGGGGCTGGGACTCCTTTTTTTTTTTTTTCCTCCTCTTCTTTCAAACCAAGTTGCATTTGTGCCTGGATCAAGTTGCCCGGTATCAATCCTGAAATTTGTAAAGATGAAAAGCAGAACAGCCACCCAATATTTAAAATGTGAAATGATTATGAAATGGCACCAGGCCAATGTTTATGAATCATTGAATATGATCATAAAATCATAAAAAATAATCACCAAAAGGTAAATAAATTACCCGGCTTACTGCGTATTTTCACGTAGGGCCTGACACAAAAGCTGCGCCATGAATGATTTATACCTGTTTTAACAATAATACTCATTTTACTGAAAGACGGTCAGCACTTGGACTGCCGTGGGCAGCGTGCCAGTTGTCGAAAGGTTAATGTTTCAGCAGCAATACATTAAATTATGAATAATACCGGTCCCAAAATGGAAGGTTATTAGCTCAGTGTGCTTAATTAGCCCAGCTAGAACTGTGCCATCAAGAAGCAGTGCCCATTACTTGAGCGGTAGCTCTGATGGGCCAGGGCAACATCGCTGGTCCCGGAGATAGGCAGTGTGTGGGCGTGTCTTCTGTGAAACCGAGTCTCCAGGGCTGGTTCTCGGGAGGTGGAACCCGCCTATTGTTTATCCTCAAGGACTTTCCAAAAGCAAAGAGGAGATTGCCTGGATAAGCTTGGTGTTTGGCAACACAGACGTGGCTCAATCTGCCTCCATGTCTGTTTGCTGCTGCTGCTGCCCCTGCGCCCTACCAAAGAAGTGTCAGGTACGAGGCACAGGTGGGCAGGACACGGGCACTCTTCCAATACAGGTGCTTACTGAATGGCTGCTACATGCCCAACACTTGCAAAATAGGAAACAAACATGTCTTTAGATCCACTCGAGGGAACAGATAACCAAGTTGAACAACTAACCATGTGGTTCTTGCGTTAATTACACTCACGTGACTGCTATGGAGCGTGGCTTTAGCATGCCAACACCTGGCTAGGAGTTGGGGTGGGGTTCTTGACAAGAGCTACGTTTGCTCTCTTTCTAGAGGGTGGGTAGGAATGAGCCGGGTGAGTCTCAAGGAAAGGACCTTCCCGGGAGGGAATGTTTTAAACCACGCCTGGGTCTCCAGGAGGAACGGAGCCAGAGCAAAGTCAGCCATTGCTTACATGGAGTATTGGCAAACCACCTGCTGGCCAGGGCTGCAAGAGAGCTGCTGGGCACCTATCTTGTGTGTGCATGTGTGTGTCCACGCTCAACCCCACAACCCTCCCCATGTGCTGGGCCAGTCCTGGCACTGCCCTGCCAGGTGCTACAGTTCCACACTCACAGGCCCGGGGCTCACCCGAGCCGTGCCGGCCCCACCGCTGGAGCTGAGCTGTCTGCACCGCCGCCCACCGCTACTTAGTACTATTAGTAGCTTGTTTTTCTAAGCCCTAAAATTCATTTTCTTTTCCCGCCTCGCTTCCAGAAAAATAAATAAAAGTGAACACATCACTCATTTAAGACGAGGAATGGAATTTAGGTTGCGTTTTTCTTTCTATTTTTATGATTAGTTAGAATTTTCCTGGGAACGCCGCCAGGAGGGCATTATGGTGAGATAATGTCCTGTATTTAATCGGTACTGCAATGGCGAGCTGCGCTCTGTGGGGAGAGGCCGAGCTAACGCATCCTACTGTCCCGTTTTCAGGAGACGACCGCACAGCGCAAGATGAAGACGAGACTGACAAGTGGCACAGCTCCAGGCTGGAGTGACGGCCGGCGAGTGGACAGGGTGCGGTCGTGACCCCAGCTCTGCTCGCAGGACCTGCTGGCCCGGAGAGCCCTGGAGACTCCAACTGTGTGAACAGGGCCCCCAGACTGACCAAGGTGACCAGCTGGCGTGCCGCAGCTCCTGGACTTTCCCAGCGTCTTCTTCCACACCTGACCGACGTCTCTTGGCCGGAGCACGCTTGTGGCTGTCACACGTGCATCTTTTCCCTTTGCAACCCAAACACCATGTGCCAAGGGAGGCCCGAGGCCTTTAACTGAACCTGGAGGTCAGCACCAGGTAGGACCAGAAGAGCTCCTTCTCTCTGCGCGCATGCGGCCACCCCCAGCTCCCCAGTACTGGTGCTGCAGGCGAGAGCGGGCGCTTGGCAATTAGCTGAGCCGATCTTGTTGGCACCGTTGTTTGGTCCTTGGCTGACAAATGAAAGGCTCTCTGGCTGTGCTGAACAAGGAAAGGCCATCTTGGAGAGACGCCTTAGCGAGCTGTCTGAGGAGAAGGAAGGAAAACGGGAGCTTGGGGGCAGAGAGGGGCGTGTTCACCTGGGAGAAGGGGCGTTCACCCAGGGAATGGCGGCAGGGGTGCAGATTAGCCTTTGTCTGCAAATGGTGTGGGTGGCCTGGAAGGCCGGAGCGTGGTGTGGCGGGCACGCAGAGCCTTCCGGATTTTACTGTTGTCCCCATTAAACCCGGGGTCTGCAGGAGCTACTGCACAGGTGAGGGATGCCTCGAGCAACCCATAAATAGCGGAGTGAAGACAAACTGTTTATTGCTTAGCCTCATGAAGCCCATATAAACGCTCTCCCAGGGGCGCGAGAGCAGGCGCGAGCGGGAGCCGGCCCGCGTGTGTGTCCCGGGAGCGGCATCCCAGACACCGCGTTCGCGCTTGGCTTCCTTCTATGAAGGCGCCTGTTTGATGGCGCGTCCTGGAACAGCTCATAGCCGGTGCAGCAAACCCTGTGCACAGACAGAGCTTGCTTTTCCTCCTTCCTTTTCCTGTTTGCGGGGAGAATGAGGCCTTTCTCTCCTCGGCCCCTCGCGCTCCCCAAAGTTGTCTCACGAGGTCATTGCCAGCTGACAGGGCTCCTTTCAGTGCCAGGTTTGGGTGGAAACAATACGCTGCTTTCTGGGGGGCTGGTGAGGCCTTGGGCCTGACCGGCCGGCCCTAGATTCAAATGGGCTGTTGTTTCCGTCGGTTTCTTCAGACAGCTGGCTCTCTGTGGTGCAAAACTGCAGTCTTCATGCATGGGCGTGTGTGTGTCTGTGTGTGTGTGTGTGTACACGTGTGATATCTACATGCCAGCGGGGCCAAGCAAGGGAAGGGTGATTGGAGATCTTCGGGTCTGGTGTTAAGCCAGGGTTGGCCACTCACTAGCTGTGTGTCCTTGGACATGTTATGAAGTTACTTACTATTTTGTGTCCTTAATCCCGGCTCGTCCATCTGTCATAGCTTCACGTGCACACGTTCATGGGCTCTGTGATCACGAGGTGCCTGTGTGACTGTATTCACCAGTGAGCTTGCGAGCCCTGCACTGAATGCCGTGGAGGTTGGCAGAGCTGGTTTCTGAGAGCTGAGGAGACGTGTTGAATGTCCTGTCGACGGTCTCCGTCACGGGCTTTATTGGTTCGCCGAGGCGAGTGGAGAGCAGTGAGAAGTGGAAGGAGCCTAGCTCGACGAGTTCTAGCATCTTGCAAAATCCTTATAGGTCTTCGCAGGGTTTCCAGCGGCAGTGTTCTTGCGTATCGCTGATTTAATATTTGGAGAACCAAGCAGCGCTTTCAAAAACTGTGTTCTGGGAATTTCTGAGTGAGGGCCCCGTCCTGCAAACTCCTGGGGCTGATGAGGACCACCAAACAGACGAAACCAGGTCACGGAAACTGAGGTTGACTGTTTTGAGTCGTTGTGAGGAATGATCAAACCCCGCAGGAAACGGCTAGTGTGAGCGACAGGACTCAGGAAGGCCGGTGCCTGGGATGCTGGGAGCCGTCTGGCACAGCCAGGCAGGCTGCTGTTGGCTGGCTGTGCAGGAGTGTGGCCCACTCGGCACAGTGTGCTGGCCTTCCAGGAAGGTAAGTCACTCACTGGTCCAAGAAAGAGGGATTCCCTGAGGAGCCGCCAGCGAGGACAGGGAGAGCCAGCCCGGGAGCAACCGAAGGCCACGCCAGCTCCTGTGTGGACCTCCACGCGGTGGGCCCCCCCACGCTGCCTGGCCCGTGTCCTTTCTGAAAAAGGCGGACCCTGCTCTCTGCCTGGATACAGGGGTCTTTTTTGCTTCTTTCGGCTCCTTTTCTGCCTTTTTCTCTTCTCCCTTGCCCCCTCCCCTCCCTTCCTCCTCCCACAAACCTGTATGGGACACAGCCTCCATGACGGTCACGGAGCTAGCACCCCGTCCTCTTCTATCAGTACTCAGAGCCAAAGTACTGAGTTCACAGTACTTTCCTGCCCTGAAAATATCATCACGTGGACAGATAGCCCCGCATGTGCTGTAGATGGAGTTGTGTGAACGTGGAGTGCAGAGTGGGGAGAAAGGAACTCGGCCCGGAGGGGACGCTCAGAGGCTGTGTCAGGCTGACACTGACGCAGAGCGGGCAAGGAAGATGCAGGCGATGCGGGAGCCACCGGTAGATCTTTTGTGCACTGTGCCTGGAACTGGAGAAGGAAGTAAGGCTGGAGATGAGCCTCAGCATGGTGTAAGTTCAGGAGTATTTCCTCACCCTCTATCTGGCAGTCAACTGCCCAGGTCCGGACGCTCCGGCTGGCGGAAGCTCCAGATCCTGCCAGTCATTAACAAAAGAGTCACGTGCGTTACGAAACGTTTCCTCGCAGGGCAACATGGCATCTCAGGCCCTGGGTCTGCAAGGAGCCTGGGTCATCTATCCTGTCTAGGAATGAAACGTAAGCCATGGGACTTCTGCCGTCAGAGACCCGCCGCGGGACGTGGCAGTCAGTGCCGGGTTAGTGGGCATCGTGGCCACCCCATCTGTGGTTTGCTCCCTGTGGGGTCCCTGATGTGGTTACATTAGAGACTTTGTTCAGTGACGCAGTTGGCTTTGTGTTGGCCCAGCTCTGTCCTATTTGATTTCTCCTTGGCAACAGATTGTGTAGATTAGGAGAGGCAGGTCTGTCATCAGGAGGAGAGACACAGCCTTTGCCTTTGGATGTGTGTGGGTGTCTGAACCTGGGGCCATGTTTCATCCAAATGAGGATGCCCTAACCAACCCGAGGGCCTTCCAGCAAGCCACACCCTTCTGCTTCCCGCTCTTTCTGACTACGCTCTGTGTCTGCACCCCCACCTTGAATACCAAGTGAGGTGAGCCCCCTTTCAGGATCTCAGGAGCCTGGAATCCCCCTGCAACTGGCCAGCACCATCAAGATCAGACGGCTGGCCTTGTGATAGAAGTGACACCTTATAGCCCTGCGCCCTTCACACTGGCCTCTCTATCTCCTTGGTGTCCGTAGTCCATGCACTCCAAGACCCACTTGATAATGGTTTAAATTTTGTTCAGTTACCTAAGCACATGTCCGCACTACCTATTCTGACCTGCCATACCTGCCTGGTCCCCAAAACCTCCGAGGCTGCATTCCTGCTGGTGGCTTTGCCCCATGCATGCATCCTTTGTTCTTTCCATACCTAGACCCAACGCTGAGATAGAATGCATTCAAGTGATGCCTCGGATAGTCCAGGCTGTGTGTTATCACAGAGCTGCTAAATACAAGTCCTGGAAACATAAGAAATGGAAGCATGGCTTGGCTGATCACCTTTCTTGTCCCTTACAATTTACAGCATTGCCTGGTCTTTAGTAAGATCTCAGAGTGTGCTGGAATTTGGTGACCCTATCTTTTACTCCTGGTAAGGGCCCAGAGTGACACAAGCAAAGTAATCTTCTCCATGAAAGACGAACAAACGCCACTTGCTTAGAGAGTCTCATAAGATTCTCATCTGTCGTGTCCCAGTTTTAATTAGAGTTATAATCATCTCTCAGGGGGTATCTCGGGGCTTCATTGAATCTACCAGCTTCCCCTTGATGCATGAAACTCGTGATGTTTAAAATATTGGCCATATCAGAAACGATAGCAGTGTGGGGACAGCGTAGGGGGGTTCAGGCAGCAGGACTTCCCCTTTCACTCCGAGAGGATGAGCTGTTTCCGGAGTCAGCACAGAAAGCAGCACTTATGCCAGGTGGGGTTTGTTCCACGTCCGCCTCCCATCCTGAATCATCACGGTTCCCAGTTACATCTTTAAAAGTTGTCATTCACAGCCCATATATGACCATGAACATGGCTCACTGGTGCTCCTTACAGGATCCTACTGAGCGGCCGCCGCCTGCTGCGCTGCCATCCCATATGGGTGCCAGTTAGAGTCCCAGCTGCTCCACTTCCGATCCAGCTCCCTGCTAATGCGGCAGAAGATGGCCGGAGTGTTTGGGCCCCGGCCACCCATGTGGGAGACCCAGGTAGAATTCCAGACTCCTGGCTTCAGCCTGGCCCAGCTCTGGCTGTTGCTGCCATCTGGGGAATGATCCCATAGAAGGAAGATCTCTTTCTTTCTCTTTCTCTCTCTCTCTCTCTGCCTTTCAAATAAAATAACAAATAAATCTTAACAAGAGAAGATCCTACCGAGCTGCCTCTCTCCATCGGTAGAGAAGGAGGCTGCCCCCAGTGGATGTCATCGAGATCCCCTGCAGTCGGCTGCCCCAAACGCAGGCCTATAGCCGTAGAGAGCATTCCAGAACTCTTCTACTTCCATTCAGACTGCCATCCAAATCCGTCCACTGGGTCAGGCACTCAGGCCTGGCACCTTTGCCTCGCAACTGTCTTCCTGTGCTGTCACCTGTGACTTACTCCCCAGATGCACAGCAGGCAATTAGGACCCTTTAAAATGAACCAGCACTGTTAGCTTTGGGGCCGGAGCCATAGTCCTAGACTGAGAATGCCCAATAGGGATGCTCCTGATACTGGTAACATGAAGTTTTATTTCTTGATATTGCCATTTTGAGTCAGATAATTCTTTGTCGATGGAGGGAGTCTGCCTTGTTCATTGTACTATATTCGTTTGTACCCCGATCCTTACCAAAAATGTCTCTGGAAACTTCTAGATATTCCTGGGGTCAGAGGTAGGGGGGGAGTCACCCCAGGTGGGAACCGCTGCCTTAGGCTTCTTGTGGAAGAGGGGTGTGGACCTGGCTGTGGGCTTCTGCTCAGGGAGTGAGAGCTAGAGTATCTGAGCAACTCGTCTGGCTTCTAAGAAACAGGAAACACATGACCCGCGAGAAAGCCGCTCAGCCCATGGAAGCCAGAGGCCCTGGCCGCACTCCTCACACCTGCTCACCGCTCTGTCTGATGTATCAGAGAGTCCCTCGGTGTGTGACCAGTCCTGATGTCCAGGAAAGCAGTGACACAGAGGGAAGCTCCATTCCCTTGTCCAGCTCGCCCAGGTCCTACTGATGCACTCAGTGTCGTCACAGGGTGTCTCATCAGAAGTAAGATCCTTAAAGAAAACCCTACTGCATGCTATGCTGACTAGATGACTCCACTAAGGCAATATATTTTTTTTGTAAAACCACCGTTCCTGTGTCTGATTTGGCCCTTACAACAGATCTAAGGAAGCTGTGATGTCTCAGAACTGTGTCATCACTTCTTAGTGTTTTCATCACACTGCATTTCAAAGAATGTCTTTTTCCAAGGAGCTCAGTTTTATATGCAGTGACTAAGAAAGTGTGGGGATCAGGGAGCTTTGTCCAGGCATACCACTTCCCTCATGCCTTCGAAACACAGTCTGCCAATACTCACAGTAGGGTCTGCTTTCATCTTATATAAAAATTGGAAGTAAATTAGTGGGAATAAAATGTAAAATTCACTCATTCATTCAAAAGAGAAGCTGCTGAGGAGGATACTGCACTAACTCTGAGATATTCAGAGGCATCTGACATTCAACCGGGAAGTCCAACAGCTCTTTATCTGGTGCTAGGGCCAACAGGTGGATGACAACACATATAATTACAGGTCATTATGCCACGGCAAAGACGTGGAAAACAGGGCCACGGAAAACAGTGGCCTCTGCACACTGAAGCCCGTTGCTTGACCACAGATGGTGGACACGTGTGTCAATGGCATGACCCATGAGAACACTTTGCTACCTTCATGAACAGGGTTGACATGTACCAGTCAGTCAGGGAAATGTAGAAGACAAAGAATGGGTCAAGTTTAGCAAGATGTTTGATAATATATATGAGAGTACTTCCAAAAGTTTATGGAACATGGAACTGAAAGCCTGAACTTATTATGGTGGAAAACTTGATTTTAAAATCCGTGCAGTTTTTTTCATAATATGCATTTTCCAGGTGTTATGAGGAAAATTGCACCCCCCGATTTTTTGCACCAAAATCAGCTCCCACTTTTAATTCCATTTTTCCATAAACTTTTTGAAGTACCCCTATAGTAAATTGATGGTTTGGCCATTTATCTCATGGGAATGAAGAAGAATGAGTTTGTTAGTATTGGCTGACTAATTGGTGCCAATGTGGAGGACAGTCATTCTGTGCTGGGACATTAAGGTTTTGGCCTCTTATTTTTTAAAAAAATTATTTATTTATTTATTTACTTATTTGAAAATCAGAATTACATACAGAGGTGCAGCAGGTTAAGCATCCACCTGCAACAACTGGCCATTCCATATGGGCACCAGTTCTAGTCCCAGCTGCTCCACTTCCGATGCAATGCCCTGCTAATGCACCTGGGAAAGACTGCAGAAGATGACCCAAGTGCTTGGGCTCCTGCCACCCATGTGGGAGACCCAGACGAAGCTCCTGGCTCCTGGCTTCAGATGGAAGATCTCTGTCTCTCTCTCTGTAATTCTGCCTTTCAAATCACTAAATAAATCTTAAATAAATAAAGTAGCTGAGATAGCTTGGGCTGCTGCATAAAATATCAGTGGCTCGTGGTGAGGGCTCTCCTGGGGTGAAGCACAAACATTCAGTCTCTGACCTCAAGCTTGGCGGGTCACCCCAAAGCAGAAGCTGTGCCAGCCACTCTGCACGCTGCGTCTTGGAGGTCCTCGAGTATAAGGAGGAACGTGGAAGAAGTGAGAAGCCAGGCCACTGTGGTGGAGCGAGCAGACGTGGGCCACTGACATTTCCTCTTGGGCCACGGCCCTTTAAGAAGAGCGTCAGACTCGCAACAGGAAGGCACAGGGACTCAGAACCAGGTCATGCGAAGCGCAGTTGCAGGAAGTGGCAGTTCCTAGCTCAGAAAGATCAGAGAGAGGTGGACGGCACAGGAAAAAGGGTGTCTGCACCAGGGAACCAAGCTTGCTCTGTGCAGCCTGATGCTAGGAGTCACAGGCTGCCACAAAAAGGGCGATTCAGGCTCCACATAATGACCATTCTTCCCGAAGCGCCGGAGCCATCTCCGGCGCTGGAGTTGTCCAGACGCAGCTGGGGAACGCACTCGCAGGGTTCTTCAGTGAGTCTGGTCGTGAGTGGGAAGGGGCAGTCCATCAAACAGGTGGGAGAGTCACCGGAAGTGGTGGTGTCTAATAAAAACAAAGAGAGCAGGGGTAGGTTTCCGCAGGGAAGTGGGATAAAGGCAGACGGCAGTGGTGGAGGTAGGCCATGGGCAATGCGCCGGGGAGACGTGAGTAAGTGGAGGATCCAGGGGTGGAGGGACCTCCAAGGATTGGGCCACACTGAAGCCAGGATCCAGGGGTTTCATCCAGGTCTCTCACATGGGTGCAGGGACCCAAACATGTGGACCACCTTCCACTGCTTTCCAGGGCACACGAGCAGGAAGCTGGTTTGGAAGTGGAGCAGCCGGGACTCGAACTGGCACCCATATGGGATGATGGCACTGCAGGCAGCAGTTTCAACCCTACACCACAAGGCCGGCTCTGACATTTCCAATGTTTATGGGAAGCAGTGGTGTTGATCTGCATGAGATTTACCACATTGACACAATGTGAGAATTTGCCCTACCTATTCTTGAAGCCATGTAATTCAGAAATCTCTTCAGATAATACCCAAATCCATGGCATGCCTCTGGGACCAGGCTTGTGACAGTAGAGGTTGTATGCCTCAACTATTTACTACTTCCTAATTGTTTTTGCCCAAATGGTCCCCAAACATACCTTAAACACTAGCAGAAACACCTTCTACTTCTACTACAACTAAATTTTTTGAAGGATATAATTGATTACAAGGGTATTTGTAATTAGTGGCTAAAATAGGACATTTTGTTTTCAGGAATGTGGCCAAAGGGTGGCCATTTGGCACAGCTGTTAAGATTCTGCTGGAAACACGCACACTCATATGGGAGAGCCCGGGTTCAAGTCCCAGCTCTACTTCCACTTCTAACTTCCTACTAATGGCACCCTGGGAGGCGGCAGGTGATGGTTCAAGTACTTGGATCCCTGCAGCCCACATGGGAGACCCGGATGGAGCTGTGGGCTCCCAGCTTTGGCCTGGCCCACCCCTGCCTGTTGTGGGCATTTGAGGAGTGAACCAGTAGATGAAAGATCTCTGCCTCTCTGCTCTTCAAATAAATAAAAAGTAAAGGAAAAAGAAGTTGGGGAGACCAAAGGAAAGCAGAAACCATCCTTTTGTTTTTAAAAAGAAAAGGGGAAGTTTGTAATATCCTAATCTGGAACTTTATCTGGAAAAAAAAATGCTTGCCGAATCATTTCTAGAATACTCTGTAGTGAATACAGTGTTGGGAACTCACGTCACTTGACAGAACAAGTCCTGTCAAACTGATTCATTTCCTTCCATGAAAGAGTAACAAGATTTCAGCAGATTGAGGGGAAATGATAAAGATAATCTGTGTTTTATTTAGCAAAATGCTTGAACCTGCTCCATCCCACCTCTTGGTCAACACATGCAGAAAAGTTGGGGATTAGTTGAGCTGCCGTCCTGGGGTCCAGATTTAACCACACATCCCTTTAGCCCAACAGCAGGGACGCTTACCTGAGCTCCTTTAGGGGGAAGAAATGACGGTGCCTCCCCCAGAGGGTCTTGGAGTGTGGACGAATGGATCTGATGTGCTTGGCATTCAGGGTGTTGATTGCTCAGATATGCTCAGAAGATCAGCTGGGAGTCTGTCATTTCTAGAAAATGAAGTCTGTGCTGGCTGGTCACCGTCCTTTAAGAACCCTGCACCCACATCCCTCTGAAAATCCCCCCGCAGAAGTTCTTGAGCGCTGTGGTTCCCAGGTTTCTCCATCACCAATGGGGGGCAGAGGGTACACAGGAGGAAATGGTAACTTTGAAAGCAAGGGAAATGGGTGGGGAAATAAATCTGTCATGTTGTCAAGTCCAAAGGGGCAAGGCACTCTGGAAATTCTAGGTAGCCTGGGAAAGAGTCTGTCCTTCCTAGGAAGGGCCAGAGTGCTACTTTGTTGCTGACTTGCTGGGTTTGCAGATCCTTCTTCTTGAGGACGTCCAAGCACCTGAACAGCACTTGTGGCATCTTGCACTATTCATCTTCACAGCACCCCTCCTGAAGGCATTTCCTTGCAATCCTTGTATTTTGGTAACTTTAAGGCTAGAATGGTGTGTATGGGGGACCCAGACATGAAAAAAGTTTATCCTTGATCTTCTTTCTTCATCTCAATATCCTGTTTCCCGGAACTAACATATTTCAACTTAGAGCCCTGGAACATGTAGGTATTTAAAAAGTTTATGGAAAAATAGGATTTAAAGATAAGTTTATTGGGGTGCAGAGAAATTTTGAAGATGATGCATTTTTCCCCAGTCACATTTTCCTTGAACTTTTTAAAAACGCTTCATACTCAAAAAGAACTTCTCAGTTCTGCGAAAGCCCCTCTCGTTCATATAGCAAGTTCATGGTCGGATCCTCTTACTCCAGCTCTGCCTTGCCAACCAAGTAGCATCAGGATATTATTAACCATTGCTGAAGCATGTCCTATACCAAGCGTTGTGCGTGACACTTTGTTTCTGCCCTCTCAATCCTCCAACAACCCCTTGGGTGGGTGCTGCTATTTCTAGCTGACAAGAAGACACTCTGAGGATTGTATGACTGGCTGGAGTGGCAGAGGTAGGACTGGAACACGAGACTTTGGTGATCTTTCCATTCTCTTAAGGTCTGTTTCATTTTTAATTTTAACAAAAGATCAAGTAGTTTTTCCTTATGTTTATTGACTTTTCGATGTGTTCAACTTTGTTTATTTGCTTCTATTTTACACAAGGATCATGGAAAATGGAGTTAAAAGGCAAGTTCATTTTGGTGCAAAAAAAAGTGTGGAAGCTATACTCCTAAGGGTCTTTAAAAACATTCATGAGGCCGGCACCGTGGCTCAACAGGCCAATCCTCCGCCTTGCGGTGCTGGCACACCGGGTTCTAGTCCCAGTCGGGGCGCCGGATTCTGTCCCGGTTGCCCCTCTTCCAGGCCAGCTCTCTGCTGTGGCCAGGGAGTGCAGTGGAGGATGGCCCAAGTGCTTGGGCCCTGCACTCCATGGGAGACCAGGAGAAGCACCTGGCTCCTGCCATCGGATCAGCGCGGTGCGCTGGCCACAGCACACCGGCCGCGGAGGCCATTGGAGGGTGAACCAATGGCAAAGGAAGACCTTTCTCTCTGTCTCTCTCTCTCTCTCGCACTGTCCATTCTGCCTGTCAAAAATAAAAAAATAAATAAAAAATAAAATAAAATAAGAACCATTCATGAAAGACCTGTCAAAAATAAAAAAATAATAATAAATTAAAAAAAAATTCATGAAAGAGATGAGTATTTGGCATAGGGGTTAAATGGCCACTTGGGATGCCTGGATCCCCGTACCCATCCACAACTTGAAATGCCTGTGTCCGAGGCCTTCCTCCACTCCTCTCCAGCTTCCTGCTAATGCGATCCCAGAAGGCAGCAGCTGACAGCTCGAGTGCGTGGTTCTCTGCCACCTACGTGGGAGACCCAAAATGAGTTCCAGGCTCTTGACGTTGGGTTGGCCCAGCCCTGGTGGTTGTATACATTTGGGGAGTGAACCAGTGGATGGGAGGATAGAAGACCATCCCCACCCCCACTCTCCCTCTCTTTCTTGCTGCCTCTCAAATCAAATACACAAGTAAAAATTAAAAAGAAAAGGTCGGCCGGTGCTACGGCTCACTAGGCTAATCCTCCGCCTGTGGCGCCGGCACCCTGGGTTCTAGTCCTGGTTGGGGCGCCGGATTCTGTCCCGGTTGCCCCTCTTCCAGTCCAGCTCTCTGCTGTGGCCCAATTCCTTGCTCCCTGCACCTGCATGGGAGACCAGGAGGAAGCACCTGGCTCCTGGCTTTGGATCGGCACAGTGCGCCGGCCGCAACGCGCCAGCCGTAGCGGCCATTATGGGGATAAACCAACGGAAGGAAGACCTTTCTCTATGTCTCTCTCTCTCTCTCACTATCTAACTCTGCCTGTCAAAAAAAAATAAATAAATAAATAAAGGAAAAAAGAAAAGGTCACGAAGGGGCAGGCATGGTTGCCTATGGTTAAGGCACGAGTTAGGATGCTCATCTCCCACACTGGAGTTCTCAGGTTTGAGCTCTGGGTCAGGCCTCTGACGCCAGCTTCCTGCCAATGCAGACTCTGGGAGGCAGCCATGATGGCTCAAGTACTTGGGCTCCTGCCAGCCACAAGAGAGTCCTGGATTGAGCTCCTGGCCTAGCCCTAGTCATTGAAGGTACTTGAGAAGGAAACTGTCGTGTGTGTGTGTGTGTGTGTGTGTCTGCTTCTCAAATTTAAAAAGTCATGAAAATGCAGAATTTAAACAAACTGTGCATGGCTTTAGGAAAACGTATGCACCCCCCCTCTTTGCACAAACACATTGAGGTTCCCTCGGATATTACTGGGCATACACCATCTCTGGCTTCTAGTCTGTCCTCAGCTGCTAATAGCTCATCTCTGATAGCTTATTTACTTTGAGAGAAATAGTAGATAACTAAATCCTATCTTTCAAAAACACACAGATAGTTAAAAAAACAATCATCAATCCACTTTCTGTTATTGTTATGTCATTTTAGCCCAGCCCATAGGGTCAGCAGCTGAGATTGGTTCTTTTAATAAGTAGTAATAGAGTGATTAGGCTTTTTAAAACATTAATCCGACCCCAGAGAAACACTCCGTAAAAGTCCTGAGGGTTATTCCTTCATTCTTTCTTGCTTATGTCTCTGGGCTCAGGACTGTCTTCACCCTGGAGTCACTATTTGCAATTCAGTGTCGTCATCACTGCCATCATCGTCGTCATCATTGTCATTATCACGATCATTATCCCCCCTCGCCATGGGCACATCACTGAGCACCAATTAGCACCGTGAGCATTCATGGAGATGCGTTCAGGGTAGACTCCATCTGGCGCTCTGCTCAGGGAAGCAGGCGGGGCAGTTCACACCATGAATACAAATCTGCCCGCGTCTTTCCATCTCATCACAGGTACCGAGACGGAAACAAGTGGGTCTTGCTGATGGGATTTTGGTGCCTGCATGGTTATAAAGTGATCCAGAGGTGTGGGTGTTGTGTGCAGTGGGCTAAGCCAGAGCTTTGGACACACACATCCCACATCAGAGTGCCTGGTTGAAGTCTCGGCTACTCTGCTTCTGATCCAGCTTCCTGCTAATGGGCCTGAGGTAGCAAGTACCTGAGTACCTGGGACCTGGGACAGCAAGTACCTGGCCCAAGTACCTGAGTCCCAGCCACACACATGGGAGACCCAGATGGAGTTCCAGGCTTCTGGTTTTAGCCTGGCTCAGCCCAACTGTTGAGGGCTGTTTGGGCAGTGAACAAGTGATTAGAAGAACGTTCTCCCTCTCTCTCTTTCAAATAGATAAATAAATAAATAAATCATTTTTAAAAATTGATGATAACTGACTAGCATAGACTCCAGTGACAGAGCCATCTTACACCTGCAGCTGGATGTGTGGCACTTGCACTCCCCCTCCACCGTCTTCTATGCCCAATTCCTCAGGGTTCTACAGAGATCGAGGTGACAAGAATGAGACCAGGACCCTCCAACACGACTCTGATTTGAGTTTGAAACCCACAAACATCATTGAACTGGTCCTCAGGTATCTGCCTAATAGAAAATGCACAACAGCCAGTCCTTGACCTGTAACATTTGAAAGTTAAAAATTAAAATGTATACAAAATATTTAGAAAGTTCCAGACTCCCGGCATGTCTCAGGAGGATTTAGAGGCTGAGAGTGCCAAAGAGATCCTGTGTGGCCAGGTCCCGCGGCCAGACCCCTCTGCCAGCACTGGAGCTCACTGAGTGGAGGGAAGAATGCAACCTCACGCACTCCGAGTTCTCTCCTGGCTGGTGCTGGGGCCTTTCAGCTGGCCTCTGTGAACGCGGCAAGCCCCAGCTCCAGGTCTCGGTAGGTCTTCCTCGCCATGCCATGTCTCTAACACTCTGGGCAACGCAGTGGCGACACGCCCGGCGAGCTCTCCACTTTCTCCCACAGGGGCGGGACCCACCTCTGCAACTGGTGAGGATTCTGAGTTCACACTTGAGCAATGATGACCTCATCACCTCACTCTGCCCCCTCCCCCACCTCCAAACTAAAAGGCAGCTAAGCCCAGGAGAAGACAACCTTGGGGCGGGGGGGGGGGGGGTGGGGGGTTGGGGTGGGGGGGGTGGCGGAAGGGCAGCTCCGGGTTCCCTTCGATCCCGTGTTGTGTCACCCTCTGGCCTCGTGACCTTGCTGCCCGCCTTGAAAGCATTTTCCAGGGGCACCACATCCCCCCCCCCCCCTTTCTGCGAGGGTCAGTCAACAGCGTAAGGCTCGCATGTCTTTATTAAGCATGTTTCCTAAACTGCATGCTTTGGCTCCGTGCCCATGTGCACCAGGAGAGCTCCAGGGAGCAGGTGAACCCCAGAGCCCTGCCACATGGCTCCTCATGGAAGTAGCCTATGAACACGCAGGAGGCACCTGCGCTGCCCTCTGCTGCCCTCCTGGATACCTCCAGGGTTTTCCCGGCTCCCTGCGTCCCTGGCTGGGCGCCTGCTGAGAAGCCAGCTCTGTCCCTCACAGAACAGGGCCGGGCAGCTGCCCCTGCAGCAGCAGAGCGACGGCAAAGGCAAGCTGGGCGTACTCCCTGCACACCAGGGCAGGCCAGGACCTCGGGTCCGGCTACGGGGAAGGCAGCAGTGACGAAAGCCTGGGACGCAGACCGGGAGAAGAAAGGCTGTAGATAAATAAGGCATGTTTGACCAAACCCTCAGCCCCTAAATCTCGAAGGCCACTGGAGCAGGAAATTGAATGGCCAAACGGGAGCAGCGCGCTCTGCCCTCCCCCCACCCGTGGCCTGGCCGGTTTCCGAAGCCTTTTTAGATTTTGATTTTTTTCCCATTTAGAAACCTCAACCATAAAGGAGAAGCGTGTTTTTTCAAACAGCATGGAGACTCGAGTGGGGGACAGATCTGAAAGGGACTGAAAGAGGAAGGGAGACTTGCTGGAGAAGGCAGGGGGAAATGCAGGGGGAAACGCATGCGTGTGCAAGAAACGAGAAAACAAAGGCAAGTGTGGCGTGAGAAAGACGCGCGCTCAGGGCAGCAGGCGTGATGTGGGAGGGAGGGTGGCTACCGGCCGGCAGGCGGGCAGGCAGGCAGAGCTGGCTGGGAGGCAGGCCGCACATGTGGGAGAGAGACAATGATGTCAGCATTTCCTTCTGGGGTGGTCACGTGGGCCCTTCCAGGTAAACAGACTGGAAATAGACTCCATCAAGGCAGCGCCCGCTGGGGGAGGCGGGAGCCCATCTCGCCCCGCCCCCTCCTCCCTGCGCATCCTCCACACGCAGGGTTCCAGGTCTCAGAAGCCGATTTTATGAGCCAAGGACTGGGGCCCGGAGAGGGGGAGCTGTTTGCTTTTGTAATCAGCCTGAGGAGGTTAGAGAGAGTTGGATTTTCAGTGGGAGGGAGGTGGGGCTGCCTGGGAATCGGGGCTTGGATGCTGCCTGTGTCTCGGGCCGGGTCTGCACACCCTCCGGTGTCTCCTTTTGGCCTGGGTCAGATGGATCTAGATGAAGGCTGGACTGGCAGGCCGCGGGTTAGAAGGAAAGGATCCGATGCTGTCATTATCAGCATCAGGGAACGGCAAATGCTAGGAGACTGAGCCAGCCAGCGTGTGGTGAAGGGTGCAGTATCTGACCACGGTGTCACAAAGGGGAACCGAGACCCACCCCTGCCCAGGCCAGAAGAGATGAGGTGACAAGTCCCAGTGACTTGCCCCCAGAGTTCTTTTTTAAAAAAAAATTCTATGGGAGGTCCCCCACACAAAGCACAGCAGAAAGGGACTCCCTAGAGACTTGAGCTGAAAAGCAAGGTAGATGGCTCAGCTCATTTTCCACCTGGAAGGCTTTGGTCGGGGGTGGGGTGGGGGTGGGAGTGGGGTGAATGCCTTTTTCTTCAAATTCCTGGACATGGAGCCATGGAAGCTGCACAGAAATATCTCATTAGGTCACTGTTTGAATAATTTTGTGTGGAAGGCACAGACCTGATTTCGGTCACAGTTGTCTGTCCTCGTGGACATGTGGCCAGAGTCCCTGAGAAGCATCGCTCACACCGTCTCCCTGCCTCAGCACTGAGAGGCGTCCTGGGGTAAATCCTGCATCCAGGACAGTCCCAGGCCGACTGGACGAGCTGGGGTTCCTCCCAGGAGACCCGCAGCCCGCATCTTGTCTAAGCAGACACAACAAGGCATCTCCCCTCCAGAAAACACAACCAAAGCCCCTCTCACTCTCTTCCCCTCCTAGCCTCTCTGCCCTCACCCTTCCCTGATCGGTTTCTAGCAGGGAACATGGTGAGACAAATTTGGGCAGACGTGCCTCTGGGGATGGACTTAGGAGCTGGCAGACAGGAGCTAAATTAAAAGTTGGCCTTAGATGCACCTGGGGAACAAAGGAGGGGGAAAAACTAGGCACTGTTGCTGTGCTTCCCACCCCCACCTCCCTTATGCGGTGGGGTGCAGGCAGAAAGGTAGGGGTCCAATCAGTGCACACAAGTGTACTTCCAGTCCTTGGGTTAAAAGATAGATATTTGATACCCTTCTCCATTAACGAAATACGTCACTCGGACATGACTCTCAGCCCAGAGTTATTCTTGCAGCATTATGTAATTGGATTGCCTAGTCAGAAGTACTTCCTTAACAAGCCTTTCAGCCACCCCTCCGCGTGGGCCTGGCTGGTCCTGCCCGGTCACACACACGGGCTTGCACAGCTTCAACCCAACTCAGCACGGCGAGGAGAAATCGGCCCACGCCTACAGGCTGGGAAGAGCCACGCCAGGGAGTGGTCCGGCGCCTGGTAAGACCTGTGCAAGCCAGCGTTGGCCGGAGATTCTCCCGTGGCTGAGCCTCAGGATGGGCAAGGGAGGCATTTTTGTTCAGAGGGGGCCGCAGGGCTGCGTCCACACACACCCTTCCCTACCCTAGGCTTTGCCGAACTGACCACTGGGGCTGGTTGTGGCACAGTGCGTTAAGCAGACTGGTTCCAGTCCCGGCTGCTCCACTTCTGATCTAGCTCCCTGCTAATGCCCCTGGGAGGCAGTGGATGATGGCCGAGTGCTTGGGCCCCTGCAACCCACATGGGAGACTTCAGCCTGGCCTGGCCTGGCTGTGGTGGCCATTTGGGGAGTGAACCAGTGGGTACAAGAGCTAGCTAGTGCTCTTTCTATCTATTTATCTATCTGTCTGTCTATCTATCTATCTTTGCTCTGCACTGACGTGACCAGGACACCCCCAGGAGGCCCACCTTTGGGATGCCACTGCCCTTATTCCCCGTTTACTGGATTTCCTAATATTTTTCACCCGTGGCTGGTCACCTGATCATCCCTTCCTGCCGGCCCTGCTGCCTCACAGGAGCAAGGAGCTTGTCTCAGCATCAGACGTAGTTTAAGAACACTTACACAGAAACATAAAAAGGGCTGGTAGGAGCCTCTGCTGTCATGAGCGGTTCTGAACTTCAAATCCTGGGCTCCACAACAGCTCCACACATTGTCCCTTCTTCCCTTGAGAGCAGCTCCTCAGGGCCCACCAGTGACTTGTCTCCCAGCCGTGCGTCCAGCCCTGAACCCAGGCAAAGCCCAAGGGCGGCCCCGGAACACGTGTCGTGCCCTGCTTCAGCCTGCTGGCACTGCACTTGTATCTCTGGTCCTCCCTTGGGTCTCCTGGTTCTCTGCACTCTGACAAGAGGCAGCTGGCGGAACAGAAATAGCTTTAAAGCCCGGCAGACCTGGGTCCTAATTCAAGCTGAACCACGTAATTAGCTGTGTGACCTTAAATAAGTGACTTAACCTCTCTGAGTCTGGCATTCCTCATCTATGAGACGAGACAAATATCAGTTTCCCAGGGCCCCTGGGAAGAACTGAAAGCGACTGCATGTAAAGTGCCTGGCAGGCAGCAAGCACATAGTGTGTGCACAACAGGAGGATGAGAGGAGAAAGGGGCCACCTCGCCTGGCCCCTGTGCTCAGCGCCTTCCCCATTCCTGTGTCCTAGTTCTTTGAAAGTGCTGAGTTGAATCTCACCATCACTGGGGGCGGTGACTTTGGTCCCAGGCTCCCAGACATGCCCAAGGCTATTCCTTCCTGGAAGCTTCCACCTGAAAGTCAGGTCCTTACCTGTTCCCTTCCAGCCCCGGGCTGCCGGCAGACCCCTCCAGGGCTGGGCACCAAGACCGTTGTATCAGCTTGGGTTTTTCACCTGCGCCAACCTGCCTGGGAGGGGTGGGGGGCACCCAGTGTGTGTAGCAAAGGGACAAGGAGCGAACGTGTGGGCTCTCAAAGGTGGCTCGCTGTGTGACCTTGATCTCTGCAGCTAAGAAGCGATCGCTCTAACTCCCCCGCGGGCGGCCCAAGGGCAGACTGAGGTACAATCAGCTACCCGCGCAACCACAGGAGGAGACCCGGGAAGAGAGGTTCCTTGGAGATGGGGGCAGGCAAGAGCCAGCCCCGAGGGGTTCTCCAGCCCAAAGTGCAGGCGCACCAGGAGCCGGCCATGCTGGCCGTACCTGGAGGGCCCAGGGTGGGGCGGAGGAGGGCCCGAGGCAGCGCGCACCGCTGCCCCACTTGGCAGGAAGCCCTTCCCGAAGACTGTGAGTTTAACCTTTAGCATTCGAGCGTCGGGGCTTAAGTGTGGCACTGAGCGAGTCTCCCTGCCGCAGCGTTCCCAGCAGCGGAAAGAGGGGTCGGCACCCACCCGCCCGCTCTCCTCTTTCTTCCGGGGCAACCTGACAGGAAAGGAGGTGTGCGGCCCCAAACCCGCAGACACAGGCTCTCCTGGAGGCCGCCCGCTGCCTGGCCAGCCGCGCCTCAGTGGCGAGCCGAGCAGCCCCGAGGGGGTCTCCATTCCCAGTTCTGCTCTTGGAACCGTCCTCCTTCCGCAGGCCTCGGCTGGGAAGGGCTGCGTGAGACTCCAGCCCAGGGTCCTCCCCAAGTCGGGGATAGGACCCTCGAGTCGGCGTCTTGCGGGGGAGGGGGTGGGGCCCCTGCGGTCCAGCACAGGCTGGTGGGGCGCGGTAAGGGCGGCAGGAAGGGAGGCGCAGGACGAGCGGCCCCAGGTGGGGAGTCGGGTGCGGGGAAGTCAGGTGCTGGGGCC